AGGGAGTATCTTACATTCAATCATTGAAGGCACATTGGAACAACCAGGGTGCTCATAGGGTGCATCTACATCAGGCATGGAGAAACTTCAGCCCGCCAGGGGTTTTGGACTTCAGCTCCCACAATTCCTAACAGTAGGCTGTTAGGAATTGTGGGAGTTGAAGTCCAAAACACATGGAGGGCCGAAGTTTGCCCATGCCTGATCTACATGGTAGCATTATTGCAGTTGGGCACCACTTGAGCTAATATGGCTGAATGCTATGAAATCTTGGGAGCTGTACTTTTACGGTCTTTAACCTTGTCTGCCAAAACTACAAATCCCACGGTTCCACAGCATTGAGCCATGCCAATTAAAGTGATGTCAAACTACATTAATTCTATAGTGTAAATGCATCCCTAGCTGCCATATATTTATTACCAGGTAAAGTTAATTGACTTGTGTTTAGAGTTAAAAAATGTGTGTAGGGCAAAACCGTACCAGTGTATGTAGCGGTTTATTATTACTGATCTATCCAAAATTGGAGATGCTCTCTGTTCTGAAGATAGACATGGAAATGCTTTTCATTTCCTCTCTAATACTGTAATATCACCCTGATCCTTCAGCAAGTTTCATCCTCCATAACCAAAGGTTATTGAACATTATAATTACATATGAGAGAAATAGTGACACACCCAGCCAAAGCATTACCTTAATGATTTCCTTATCTGGCATATGGGGCACTAGGATTTCTCTTATGATTGCTTTCTCAAAGGGTTTTTAATATTCCTTGGAGCACTGCCACACAACATTGTTATGAGCAGCAACAATTAAGAGAGCCAGACAGCTGCTTCTCACTGGGTTTCCTGACTATCTGCAATGTCTCTGTAGACATATCACAAGGCATTGAAGGTAGAATCTTTATCTGATTATAAAAGATGTCTTATGGTTTCAGGATATTTATTTTCAGACTTTTTCCCACTTATGTTTCTGTGTTCAACTGTAAGCGTGCATTTTTAATGGTCAAGGCAGCCCTCAGTTACATATTATTAGTAGTATTAGTATATTGCTTTTGTTTCTGTGATTGAGACACAAAGTGGATCACAAATTTAAAAATTTACTACCGCATGTCATTGTACTAATTATTAGCAAAACAAACTTTCTTAGCTTTGCTTTTACACGTATAGATGTTTTTTGTTTTTAAAAGAAAACATTGTACAGGCCTATTTCTGAGACAACAGAGTATAGTGGGTCAAATGTTGGACTAGGACAAGGTTTCATCTACATTGTACAATTGATGCAGTTTGATACCAATGCTATGGAATCATGGGAGTTGCACTTCTGCAAGGTCTTTTGCCCTCCCTGCCAAAGAGTGCAGTTGTCTTACCAAACAACAAATCCCAGGATTCCACAACATTGAGTCATGACAGTTAAAGTGGTATCAAACTGCATTAATTCCACAGTGTAGTTGCAACCTAATAAGGCAATGAATGGCTTAGTCACATTTCTCGGGATTCTAAGAAGGCAGAAGTATCACATTTGCCGAAACCCCACGTGACAGGATCAGAATTCAAAATGACCTTAACACAAAAATGATGATGCAAACTTTGTCAGAATGCAAAGCAATCCTAAAACAGGAAACAAGAAATTAGATGGATTTTTCTACTCGTATCCAGTTAAAAAAGGATCTTCCTGCAACACATCCCAAGCTGGGAAATCCTGGGCCGCAACTCTTTGGCCAATCAATAGTGTGCCTATTTCTAAACTGTAAGTCTGTAAACTTCCTGACCTGCTGTTATCATTGGATTAAAATGGTTCTTCAGCCTAACCTTTTAAGCAACTTATTATCAAGGCCCTTACAAGAGAGCTCCTCCTGCTGTTCATCCTGCCTATTTAATGGATTCAATCAGCCTTAAGTACCCAAAATACTTTGGAGAAAATTGATTGCACAACTTGAGAAAGGTGGAAATTAGTAGCCTGGTTTTCTAGCATTAGCAAATGTCACCATCTGAATTATGAAAAAGTATAACCTCTGTCACCTTTTATTCAACAGTAGTCCAGCTCCAACAAGTCCAGAATTGTGAGGGAAGCAGGAAGGTGAGATCTCATTATCAAAGTGGATTCGGGCTTCAGAAAGAGAGAAAAGACAGTGGTTGCTTTCTTCATTCATGCTCTCATTTCAGCCAACAGTTGCAGAGATGGTCAGGATTCCGAATTTGGAGAACTCAGAAATGAAATGTTGAACCAAATGAAATAATTGAAAATAAAGGACAATCTGAGTCTTCAGTCCTGAATTCTGCACCAACTGCTAAACTAGAGGTCAGAACTGTGTAACCCCTCTGAAATTTATTTGATTTATTTACAGTATTTATATTCCACCCTTCTCACCCCACAGGGGGCTCAAGGCGCATTGCAATGCACATATACATGGCAAACATTCAATGCCATTTAGACATACAACATATATAGACAGACACAGAGGCAATTTAATATTCCAGCTTTTCTGGCTTCATGAAGGTATGCTCGATTCTGACCAAAGGGGGAGCTGCCACTGCACCGTCCACTTGTGACACTGGGTCCTTTCATGGAGTACTTCCTCATTCTTCTGCATGCTGCTGGAAGGTTTTTTATGTCCTCGTAATTTAGTTAAATTAGCCTCCCTGCATAAAGCGGTACCTAAATTTCCTACTTGACAGATGCAACTGTCTTGCGGGCTGCATAGGTCAACAGCAAGCTAGACTATTAATGTTTGGGAGCTTACTCCAACCCGGGCTGGCTTCAAACTCATGGCCTCGGGCAGTAGTGATTTAATGCAGCCAGCTACTAACTAGCTGTGAGAATTTATATCCTGCACCCCCCCACTCAAGGGCCCATAAACTGGGTGTTTCTGTAATCCACAAACTGGATGCTTCTATGGTTCAAAAGCACTCTTCTCCAAAGCTGCCATTTATTTGGGCCATCCAAAACATGTTGCAATTGCTAACAAATTAAATGCTCTGTCACAATCTTTTCCCAGTTTGGTAACTTCTGGACATGTTGGATTATAAATCCCATTATCCTTAGTCCCCAGTGGCGCAGTGAGTTAAACCTTTGTGCTGGCAGGACTGCTGACCAACAGGTCAGCGGTTTGAATCCAGGGAGAGTGGGTTGTGCTCCCTCTGTCAGGTCCAGCTCTCCATGCGGGGACATGAGAGAAGCCTGCCAGAAGGATGGTAAAACATCAAAACATCCAGGCGTCCCCTGGGCAGCATCCTTGTAGATAGCCAATTCTCTTACACCAAAAGCGACTTGCAGTTTCTCAAGTTGCTCCTGACACGAAAATGAAACTCCCTAGTCAGCATAGCGATAGAGTAGTATTAGGATACCAAGCTAAGACTCTCCTCTTCCACTAGGCATTCAATACTTCATTTTGTATTTCTGGTTTCCTTACACTGTTTTGCTGTCTCTTTAAAATTTTTGCTATTTTAGAATTCTAATACTTTTCAACACTATGTGTCAGGATGTCCAAGGCAGCCATGTGAAAAGGCTGCTCGGATCCTCCTGGCATGAAGGCTATGTTAGGCAAAGGGGGAGTTAGGAAGAAGATGGGGAATGTTGCATAGATAAGAGCATCTGGCAGTGTGTTGAGAATTGAAAGTATAATCTGTGTTTTGGGAATTGAAAGTAGAAACTGTGAGAGTACAATCAGATCAAGGGGGTGGGGATTAGTTTCTTGATATATACCAGAAAAGGTGAGGGGAAAGTTAGAACTAACTTTCTTGAATTCTGGCAAGATGGAAAAATAAAGACTTTGTTTCCAGTGAACTTCATTTTGAGCTCACCTTAATTCCAAAAGCTTCTGGGTTCTGACACCTTGTTTCCATTTTAGCCAAATTACTTGTTTGCATTTGCATTATGGAATAAAGTTACATGGATATATTGACTGTTTTGTATATGTAAATCATCAAGGAGATGGTTGGTATAAAATATTTTAAATCAATAATGTTATAATCCAAATATATGGGGAAAATGGGGAAGGCTGTTGCACAGCCTTTTGCTGAAATTCTCTTATGGAAAACACCCGGCAGATCAAAGGCAGCAAAGACACCCTGTAAAAAGGTAAGGTGAGCAACGGAATGGAGAAAAAACCAATTCATAACCAATTATATGTTCCTCAAAGAAAAATATGAAGATACAGAAAATATAAAGCCCCCGGTATTTCAGAAAGTTAAACCACTGAGCTGCCAAACTTGCTGACCAAAAGGTTGGCAGTTCAAACCTGCGGAGCAAGGTGAGCTCCTGCTGTTGGCCCCAACTTCTGCCAACCTAGCAGTTCAAAAACATGCAAATGTGAGATCAATAAGTACCACTTCTGCAGGAAGGTAACGGCACTCCATGCAGTCACGCCGGCCACATTACCTTGGAAGTGTCTATGGACAACCCTGGCTCTTCAGCTTAAAGAATGGAGATGAGCATCACCCCCCAGAGTTGGACATGACTAGATTTAATGTCAAGGGGAAACTTTTACTTACTTTTGCAGAAAAGTAAGCTTGGACTTCACAATGTACAGGATGGTGCGAAAGCATAAATGTGGAGCTTGTTTCCAAAAGGTACCAAATTCATCTGAATAAATTTTACAGAAATAAAAACCATACTGAGGATATGCTTTTCCTTTTTCTTTTTTTGCTATAACAGGCTTTTCCAAATCCTTTAGCAAAGTGATTTGTACATTTTGATAGCTTTGATCTATGCATAATATTCAACTCCAAGCCAGTAAAGGGTTGCCATCTGTAGCTCATTTTTTTTTAATATTTTGGATTTGGTACCTTTTGGATACAAACTCCACAAATAAGTTAAGGAAGAAAAGAGGGACAGTAAGTCATCTGCAGCACAGTTCTTATTACCAGATGTTAGCTATTAATGTCAGGGTTTGAATTTCATCAAGATGTCTTCCCTTGTGAATTTCCACAAGGCATTTGCCTAGCAACTGTTTGTTGATTACAGAGATGGTGTATAGTTTTATAAATGAGAAGCCACTGTCAAAATGCAATACAAATTATGCCAATCTTTTAGTGAATTTGTTGCTCCCAGAAGTTTTGTAAGATGGGCCAGGACTACACCAAATGAATACAAGAAAAAAGACAGGATACCTTTGCTCTTGTCTAATATGTTATACACTGTAGCCAAAATGTTTGATCCTCTAAGTCAGTGGTTCTCAACCTGTGGGTCCCCAGATGTTTTGGTCTTCAACTCCCTGAAATCCTAACAGCTGGAAAACCGGCTGGGATTTCTGGGAGTTATAAGTCAAAACACCTGGGGACCCACAGGTTGAGAACCACTGCTCTAAATAATTAGAGGATGTTCCTGTTTTTTCTTTTTTTTCTGATACAGAATATGATGCACTGCAAAATCAGACTTGCAACTTGTGATCTTCTGGCACCATGACTTTAACAGTCCCTTCCATGACAGTCTTACCACTCTCTACAACTGTACATGACACTGAAATAAAAGCAAGGCTTCTCTTCAGTTTCGCCACTTCTGCTGAGGCCAAAACCTCCTCTCCAACATATAAAGGGTTTGGAAATTTAATCTCCTGTGAAAGAAAAACACAGCCAGGCCCAGGCATTTTAGTCCCCAGAACAGCAGAGATGAGCCCATTGATTAAAACCCCATGCACAATGGTTCTACCAAATCGGGTCTTCCTTGCATATTCTTCATCCAGGTGTAATGGGTTTGTATCCCCTGTGAGATCAGAAAAAGTGGCAATATCCTTCTGTGTAAAAGTCTTAATCAGTTCAGCCCTGTTCCCAACTTGCAGACATAAATGTTTCACATAGGGTTGAGTGAAGAATGCAGAGATGGCTTCTGGCTTCATGAGAAACAATCCCTGGAGATTTGAATACAAAGTCCTGCATCTGGGCAACGATATCAGCATCTTGGACAGCTCTGGTACTTCAGAGGCTCCAACCACTTGCCTTGTGTATTTAATCTAGCACCAGCTCTCTGCTGTTTCCAGCTAATGCAAGAAGAAATGGAGAAGTCTGGGGAGAAAGGGAAAAGCACATGTATTTGTAAAACAGAAGCAGGAAAGGTCTTTAGTAGCCAAATCAATTTCTTTTTGCATAAAGCCACACATAAGCAACCTACGCCACTGCAGAGCAGATGGTATTTTAGACACGGGAGATCTTGACTAATATGAACACAGTGCAATTTACATATTTCTACCAGCTGACTCTACGCTCTAGAACAGGGGTAGGGAACCTTTGGCCCTCCAGCTGTGGTGGACTTCAACTCCCACAATTCCTTGAGGCTCGGCATTGGGCCAAGGTAAGCCTTTGGGGCGAATGCCGAGCCTCAAGGAATTGTGGGAGTTGAAGTCCACCACAGCTGGAGGGCCAAAGGTTCCCTACCCCTGGCCTAGCCAATGGCATTAGGCAAGCTTTGAACTTTGATCAACAGGTTTGTAGTAGAAACAATGAAACACATTTGATCAAGCTGTATGAAGCAGAATACAAACCAATCAGCATCAATGCATGACCCAAATAAATGTTTCTCATTTTATGTCAGCAATTATTCTATCAATGCAGCGGGGTCTCTCTGTGAAAGAAATGAAAAGCCTAGGAAGCCTGGAATGTCTGTTTGCTGTTGTTTACCATAAACAACTACATTCTGCATTTACACTGCAGAATTAATGTAGTTTGGCATTAATGTAGTCAAACTACAGAAACATAATGAGTAATCCCTGGTAGGAAGTAGCATATCAGTGACACTGACTGGTGGACAGGAGATTAAAAGAAACACTGAGCCTTCAAAGCGGCTACCAGGATGCCAATGGGTCACCAATGGATAATCTCTTGGTGGAAAAGGTCATTAAGAGGCAGCATGTTGGACTTGCAAAATGACATGAGGATTAAGGGACATCAAATGATTAGAAATGGTTATGAATCTCCCGCATTACCTAATGCTGGTATTTACACTTTTAGATGAGAAACATAGTTGTCGTATCAATTACTCTCTGCCAGAAAGGCAATTGTAGCTATCCGGGACAATGTCAGAGAAGAAATCATACATTGCAATTATTTCATTATGAAAAAGCTGTAACATAGTTCTCAAAATGTTAACCGTCACTAGATTTTTTTAATTTTCATATGATGCTACTGGTTGTAAATTATTTTTGGCCACTCCAAACAACGATTTAGAATAGATCTGCCACAGAAAATCTACTCATAAAATATATATACCATATATAAACAAACTCAGATGTAAGGAGGTATTATACATATTTCCCACTACCTTTGATCTGCAATCCCTATACACACTTATTTTGAAATCAGTACCACTGAAATAATTGGAATTTAATTTTGAGAAGGACTGCACTGCCAGATAGTTTTATAATCTTGACTGAATTATTTTCTTTAAACTTACCTGTATTACCCTGAAAGCACAATCTCTGTTCTGATAGGAACCAAGTAATGTCAGAGCACTCCACAGCTTTACCAGGCCACTGTACAAATGGTAGAAGTTAGTACATTGATTAAAAATTACCAGGAGATATTCCAGTAAAATAATAATAATAATCCACTTTATTTATATTCCACCCTTCTCCCCTAGGGGACTGAGAGCAGATTACAAACACTTAATGCCTTTACAATCATGTACAATGAGACACACAAACACAAACAAAGGCGGAGGTTTCTCCTTTCATTCCCAGCTCCTGGAAGCGGTGCTCAACTCTGGCTCTGGGGAGATGCTTTCTCCATTTTCCAGCCAAGGAGCCTGCGTTGTCACCTCCTGGTTGTGTAGCCGGCAAGATTGCTTGGAGCATCTGTTTGCCTTTTCCTGCCAAAGCGGTACCTATTTATCTACCCACATTTGCATGTTTTCAAACTGCTAAGTTGGCAGGAGCTGAAGCTGACAGTTGGGAGCTCACCCTATCCCACGGATTCGAATTGCCAACCTTCAAATCAGCAGTTCAGCAGAACAAGGGTTTAACCCATTGCACAACTGTAGCTCCAAAACAAAACAGCATGACACATAAAGATGATTAATCTGTTTAGAATGAGATCCATAATTTCTGCAATTTATATTCTGCTTTCTTTCTGAATGGGATTCAAGACAGTTTACAATACCATTAAACACTTATTTCACGACAGTTAAAAAAATTAATATGTTAAAAATGCCTTTCCCTGAAAATCTCAATGCTTGCATTGGCTTATATAAAGAAATATCAGTTTTTTAGAAATTACTCAAACTGTCCAAAATGCACTTATGGTGCGCTATTATTGGTGCTGTAATGTGATCACCGCCTTGTTGTGGCGTTGGAG